GGGTAATTTACTGAATGATCAATTGAAATTGAATAACCCCCCGTTACTAAATATTTTTCAAATGTGAAAATTGGGAGATAAGCTACCGAGTAATACGGCATGATTTTCAGTTTCTTCTTCATCTCTCTAAGGGGCAAGTTTTAGATGAATTCAGGTATTTTGTTATATATAGTAATAACAGAAGTGGAACATGTCATCAAATTGAGGAAACTGTTTTTTAGAGTATTATGCGAGTGATTTCTATAAAGTTTCGACATTTTTTCTATAACAAAAATAATGCATTCATACACATACATACTTACAAGAGTTAATATTCTTTTTCAGTGAATATTTCCATACAACTGTCTGTTAGGGGTAGATTGAAAATTTTTTTCAAACACTGTTTTTGCAGAGTGAATATTTGCTGAGTGTCTACAGACATTCCCCAAAGGATGATACCATATCTGATATGACTTTCAGTAGGTATGTCCATAGTATGCCAGTAGGGCTGCATTTTGAGAAAACATTTTGTAATATTACTTTCAAAGCAAAACAATTTCTTGATAAAGTTATTACAATATTATTTATATGACTTTTCCAGTTTAATTTTGAGTCAACAGTTAAGCCCATAAAAGACAATTGAGGAACATATTCCAGTGTTCCTAACCATTGCTAAAATTACTATCACTACTTGTGCTATTTCATGTAGAAGTTATGAATTGCGTTTTATTAGTGTTCAATTTCAGATTATAGGCTGCTAAATTGTGTTCTAACATGTTCAAGGAGGTAAAGATTTTGTTTTTTTGAGAAGAGGCATCCTTCGAACTGAAAACCATAGAACAACTATCAGCATATTACACCATGTATTATTTCACTATGTCATTATTGATATATAATACATATGGCCTAAGACTAACTCTCTTTAATTTATGTTATAAATTTGCCAGTTTTATCCAGTTCATGTATTTTTGTAGATAGAGAAAAACATCAAATTAATAAATAAAAAAACAATAGAAAGCCTGTGAATCTGCTTCTGCCATTACCTACAATTTCCCATTTTTCAATAGCAAATTTTGAAATCAATTTATCCATATGTATTGTTTGAAAGTTTGTTTTTGGTGACATGTCTCTGAATTTTGTTTCTGTGGTTGAAATGTTTATAAGTGGTGAATAGAAATCTATCATATATGTACTGATACACTGATGGTATCACTGATATTATCACCGATAGTATCCCTTCCCTCATCCAGTCTTTCCTCAGGGTAATCATGGATATTATCATATATTTTGTCTCTATTGTCCAAGTTTTCAGAAATTTAAGCATAACAAAAATATCTAAATATGAATTAAAGTGAAACTTCATCAATTAATTAAATACAATTCAAAATAGCAAATCAATATACAGAAGAACTTATAATTCTGATATTTCATGATCAGATTTTTTTGTTATATTTGAAATCCTATCTCGAAATTTAACAAAAATGTTTCCTTTATCAGTCCCAACTTGTTTCAAACCAAACTTTGACAGTGTTTCATTGAAAAGTTTGACTTTTGATCCAGTTGGATCCTGTCTAAATAATATCCCACTTCCTTCAAGAAACTATTTAGGTGAAAATATATTTTGACGGCTTCAAAATTATAAAGCTTCAAATAAAGACCTCTTGGTTTTGCTTCAGTCTTCTTTCTATTTCAATAACACTAATGAATTTATTCTGAGAAAATGTTCAGTTTCATTTTTGACTTTGACTGATGTTTTCTTTATTCTATAGATTTAGAGTCCCTAAGTTACTTTCTCTGCTGGTTTAGGTTTGCAGGGTTTTGATATTTTGTTTTAAAAAAATTAAGAAAGGGAGGTACAAAAATAGTGACAAAATCAATTAGGTATTAAATAACACAGCAATAATTTAAGAGGGTACTTTTGTTCATGAAGACGAATCAACTCCGAATTCTTCCTGCATATACCCGCTCGACGGCACCCTACCAAATTCTCAAGCACATTGATCGGTTTGTTTGGTCTAAGTTATGGAAATTGTTTCAATTCTGCTTTCCCTCTTTCCAATTCTCTCAATGCACACTCTAGTTTCTTTATTTGGACGTCGTGTTCTGTTTTCATTTCGTTTAGTCTATCGTTAAGGTCCGCTACTGATTCTTCCAAAAACGAAAATTTCGTTTCGATAGTTTTTGTTATAGCAGCGGTCGAACTTTGTGTTTTTATGAATGATTCTGATTCCAGAGTTACTTAAGGCTTGGTTAACTGCATTTTTTATCTCTTCTCTTACTTCACGTGTTAAAACCTTTTTGATTTCTGCACGTAAATGAATATATGAGGGGTTTAATTTTTTAAAAAATTTTTAGCTGCTATATCTATCATGTGAGTATCTTCTAGGTGCACATTTTAAATGTGACTTACTTTTCACTTTCCATATGCTTACTTATGCTATAAATTCTGTTTCTTTTGAGGGAAAGTTATTACCATTAAATTAACAAAATTTCTGATCATTTGCTAGATAACTAAAAACTAAAGGAGTTTCAGTGATCTCTTGATGATGTTAACTTGGTTAATGAAACGTGCTTCAGGAGACAGTATTATTGTTTTTGGTGGGAAAAGGGTTTTCAACATATTCATTTAACGCCAGTGGTTCCAATTCTACCGAACAAAATGTGCTTATTGCCTAATTAAAATATTTTTTTTTTCAAATCAAATCAGTTTATTCATTCAAAGGACCCATTAGGGTATAGAACATGTCAGGATATAATGTCTTAGTGCATGAATATAAATATAGTAAAGACTACATACATAACTACAAGGCAACAAAAGGAACAGCGATATAAGTTATTTGCTTAAAAAGTTACAATAAAAATTCATTCGGAGTAAAAAATAATCAAAAGTAGTAGATCTACTCCGATCGAAGTAGCTGTGGCAACGGTGGTCTCATTGCACATCGCCGCTTATATAAAGCCAAAACGAGGCTACGAGAACGTTCCAGAGTGCCATCTAGTAGCGAAGTAAGGAGTAGAGCCTTCGCGAATATCATGGAAAAGTATTACGATGTAGACACAAAGATGTCGCGGTGTACAATGTGCAGTCGACTTTTTATTATTTATTTTTATTGTAAATACTAGTCTGGCAGAAGTACTACTA